CACCCACCCCCGTGTTGATAGATCAGGCCCCTGCGACAATGGCAGAGGTCCTTGAGATCAACTAGGACAAGTTACGGGGACAAGTGATGTGAGACAGCAGGGAGCAGTTTTCCCAGGGAGACCTCTGCTTAAGAGATAAGGAAAGTCAAGATGGCAGAGCAGGGCTGTAACTTTCTAATCTCTGTTTGCAAAGAACAATGCAGAGGAGCCATTAACCCGAACGGCTCTCTCACCTGACCCCAAGATCAGCGATGCTGCTGGGGACTGTTGGAGTCCCCTCACCCGAAGGCTGGGGGTGCCCAGTGTGGGCCGTTATGGCTCTGTACGTGACCCTTGTTGCTCTGGCACCCTGGGGGTCCTCAGAGGGAAGCCTGGGAGCCCCATCCTCACAGCAAGTGGCACTTGCTCCCATCCCAGTGCCTGGGTGCTGCCACTTTCCCTAGAATCCAGCCCCCCTGGGGCCGGTGCTGCAGCCCATGGAGGGAGGAGGCTGGGGGCAGAGAAGGCAAGAAGTCAGTGAGCCTGGATGGGAGGCCCCGGAGGCCTTGTAGGGCGTGTTAAAGGCCCTAAGAACAGTCTCCCTCAGGTCAAACCTCTTGCCTCTCTTTCTAAGACTTCTCTGGGAAACAGCTGTGACCCCACCGCGTCTGCAGCATCCTGTGTGGATAAAGCCTGGGACGCAGGACCTAGCCCCGCCATACATCCTGCATTACCTTGGGCAAGTCATTTCCCCTCTCTTGGCCTCCCCTGCCCCATCTGTATGGAGGAACATGAGCCCGGTGATACTAGGGCCCGGCACCAGCACTTCTGGGATGTGGGTCTTTTCCCATCCAGGATTCCTCTTCTGAACTGAGGACCCAGACTAGACTGGACTGGGGCCATGTTGTCCGGGTGGGAAGACAGCAGGGAGGGAGGGGCCCTGTTTACTCAAGTCATTCTCCCTTCCCCACCTTCCCCTCTCAGTGCCTCCAGGGCTCATGGAGATCCTATGCCTCTCTCAACAGGCCCTGCCCAGCCCTGAAGGCTGGCAGACAGAAGAGGGTCCTTCCTGGCCCCGGGGGCCTCTTCTCTCCCAGGACAGAGGTGAGACCTATTATGGGCTCTGGGAAATTGGGTGATGGGAGGCTTTGGATCCAGGTGGGGACAGAGACCATCCTTGGATTCACAGGTGTCATTGAGAAGTCTCATTATATTTTCTTGGAGCCAGACAGACTTGGGGTTTAATCCTGCTTCTGCCTCTGTGACTTCATCAGGACCATGGGTTTGAAAATGCTCATTTCATAGAATAAATGAAGAAATGGACAAAAGACCCAGCGTTTCTGATGCCTGGGTCCTAGTCGTTTAGGAAGTCCTGAACCCCAGGTTGCCTCGGGACTGGAGTCTCCTGGGAGCTCTCTGGCCACTGCCTCTGCATGTGGGAGGTCACTGCCCGAAGGAGGGACAGAACGTGCTGCCCAGCTCCAGGGGAGGAGCCCCGGGGAGGGAGCTCGTGGAGGTGGCTTCCCAGGCTGTTTTCCTGGCTCTGCCGCACCCCTTTGCCCTCAGTCTGCCTCTCGCCCCGTGTCAGCTTCACTCCATGCTCTTCCTCAGGTGACAGTGATGCTGAGTGTCCCCAGGAATCTGCTCCCTGCACCTTGGCTCCTGGCTCCCCAGGGAGCCCAGCGTCTTCACCGGAACCTAGCAGCCCTGAGTCTGAGAGCAGAGGCCCTGGCCCCAGGCCCAGCCCTGTGTCCTCCCAGGAAGGCAGCCCGCGGCTCTGGGGCCCCCTCCAGGGCAGCAGTTTTCCCGAGTGGACACTAGATGCTTCACGCCCTTCACTCCTGGAGACAGATGGGGCAAAGCCAAGTTTCCTGGAGAAAGAGGAGGCCAGAGACGCTCCAAACCCAGGGAAGGAAGTAAAGAGTGAAGGCCCAGCCAGGACTCCAGAGGCTGGAGCCGTCGTCCAGCCTGGTCCTCACTTGACTTCTACAGAAGGGTAAGTGTTAGACTGACCAGCTCTCTAATTGTGGATACATTTAGGAATGCCCTGGTCTGGACAGAGCGTGAGAAACGCACAGTGGGATTTAACACACTAATATCTATTAAGCCAGGAGTATAGGACTGGGTGACAGAAGCTTTGGGAAATACTGAAGGGTTTGAAAGCACGAGAAACCAAGAAGCAGGCAGTTACACACGTGGGGTGGGATTTGTGTGTGCTCAGGCAATGCCCTGAGAGTCTGGGCACCGGGAGAGGAGGAAGGGGAAGTGTTCGGGGAACCTGACCGGGGCCAGGTGCCCAGAAAAATAGGAGTCGTGCTAGGCAGGGCTGGGGAATGTGAAGGTCAGAGCTTGTGATGTGGGGATTACACACTGCTTTGAATTTGAGATGTCTAGGAGAAATCCATCCGTGAGCCTAGGTCCAGGGTGCTGGCTAAGATCTCAGGGGAAGCCGGAACACCAAGGGGAAGTTTGACTGGAATCAAGGGGGTGGATGTTGGGGCCCATGGCAGGATTGAATAGCCCCAAAACTGTGGCCGGAGGCAGGAACAGGACACCTGGGAAGCCAGCCTAGATGTCTGACCTGGGGTCTCCACCCAGGAAAGAGGTTTTGTTCTCTGGCTGGCTGAGTAGGGACATACTGAAGAGACCAGGAGGCACCGGTGACAGTTCTGGTCGCACCAACTGGAAGGTTGGCCCCACTCCTAGCTCAGTGTTACTGGATGATGGGGACAGAGCCTCAGGCAGGGCCAGAAACCAAAGCATCTTCCTCATGCATCTGGAAAACTCCACTCTGGGGTCTCTGGAGGTGTTTGGAGGCTAGGTAATCAGGGGAGTCTCTCAGAATCTGAGAAGACAGGGCTTGTCATACCAAAACTCCAGTCAATTCAACCCAAAATAAAAGTAAGTAAATCTGCTTAAAATGAGAAGCATACTTTCATAGTAAATAATGAAACAAAGGCTTGATCGGGGCTTTGCTTGCTATGATGTTAAGTATTACATAAATAAATAAGTTGAATCTTATTTTTAGCACAATATAGGATTAATGTTCCTGGCCTGAGTCTGCTGGCCCCACGAGATGTCTCCTTTGGGCCTGACTGTCACAGTGAGGTCACAGAGGTTATTTTTATTATATTTTATTTTACTTTTCATTTCATTTCAATTCATTTGTTTTAATGTCTATTTTTGAGAGAGAGAGAGACAGAGTGTGAGTAGGGGAGGAGCAGAGAGAGGGAGACACAGAATCTGAAGCAGGCTCCAGGCTCTGAGCTGTCAGCACAGAGCTGGAGGCGGGGCTCGAACTCAAGAACTGTGAGATCACGACCTGAGCCGAAGTCAGACACTTAACCGACTGAACCACCTGGCACGCCCCTCAATTAATTTATTTTAATAACAGCTTTTTTGAGAAAGAATTCACATACCATACAATTCACCCATTTAAAGTGTCCAATTTAAGTGCAAGCAGGATGCATTGCCCCATGTCAATCCTGTGACAGTTCATATTTGCCTTATTTTTTCTACCCCCAAAGTAACTCCGCATTGTAACAACGCTAATCGACTAGGTCGTTCCTATAAACGTATTTTAGGGCTTGCTCAGCTGGGTATTCACATAGTTCCGTTTAGGTGCGACAAATGTGTCATTATTTTTCTTCTCTTCAGTTGTCCAGTGGAGTAAATCCTCCAGTTCCTTGTTTGTCTGTGGCTTTCCACGTGATTCCTGGAACCTTCTGGCATCACTTACACGGACTTCATGAAATTAAACGTTTTTTTGGCGAGATTTGTAATTTCACTTTTCAGTGGGTCTCTGTTATGCTGGCCCCGCCTTGCTGGGTGCGTTAGAAGCCTCAGGAAGCAGTGAGGAATGAGCAGCAAAGACATGCCCCGGGAAGGGGGGTGGGCAGCCAGAGATGGATGTTTGTGTTAAAGGAGAGAGTGCTGTCGAGTGCAGCCTAATTTTATAAGTGGCCGGCTGATCGGTGAACATTTTCACGTTCTGATGAGTTTTGCTTACCCGTACAGCCCCCTAACCGTGGTCACTTGGATAATGAGTGGGCACATCACGAGAACTCCCCCCCGCCCCACCGCCCCTGGTTGTCATACTGCAGGGAACCGGAGGAGTCAGGGAGAGGCTGGGCTCGGTGACTTCCAGGGTTCTAGCTGCCAGGCTCCGAGTGTTCCCTGAGTCTGTCGGGGTTGCCTGGGCCCCTGTAAGCTCGCGATAATGACAGCTCACCATCTGGGCTCCTGTGGTGACGGCTTCCTTTATCGAAGGGCTGCCTGTGAGAAGGGAGAGGTGGCTTGGAGAGGTCGGAAGCCGCCTCTTTGACTCCCGAGCTGTAGCTGTGCCTGAAGCCGGGCTGGCTTCCTGTGCTTCCCTCCTCCTTGCACCTTCCGTGGCTCCAGCTCTAGGAGTGAAGCCTGGGGCTGGGGCTGGCAGGGGGAAGAGGGCACGGAGGCGACACGGGCAGGGCAGGACAGGTGAGGGAGATGAGTGGCTGGTGGGGTTTGGAGAGACAAATGCAATCCCTCCTGGGGATGGATTAAATACCACTGGTGTCTTCAAAGGGGACACCTGCCACCTCAGATGAACTAGGCTCAGAACATCCTGCCCGAGAAAGTGCCAGGTGCTAAGCTTGGCTCCAGCCCTTGCAGGCTGGATTCTCCTGGTGCCCAGGCCAGGCCAGACCAAGCAGGCTGTGACGCTGCCTCTTTCCCCGGTGAGGCCCTGGTCCAGCTTCCCTCGGCCCCCACCGCTCAAGGCCCTGGAGCTCTAGCTCGCCTGCTGAGCTCTGGGCAGGGACTCTGAGCATCCCTTCCAGGACTGACCTGTAGGGACACCTGCCCCGTACGCCTTCCTGTCCAGCCCCCGTGGTAGTCTGAGCACACTGTTGGACTTTTGCAGGCTTCCTGAGAGCCCCATGCCCCAAACACAGTCCCCCGAGGAAGGCCAAAGGCCACAGGCTGGAGACAAGCTGGCGAATGGTGTGAGGACCGACAAGGTGGCCTGGAACTTGGCCTCTCGCCTCTATCACCTGGAAGGCTTTCGGAAGTCTGAAGTGGCTGCCTACCTACAGAAGAAGTAAGGGGCTTTGAGCCTGAGCAAGGCTGGAGGTCAAGTCAGGGGAGGGAGGAGTGGTTGGTAGACTCCATCCGCCGGTCGCCCCTCCTGTCCCTGTGTCCCTGCTGCCCCACTGCTGACCTTCACCCCGTCATTCCTGTCCCAATCCATGCCTCCCCCCCACCCCCTTGCCCTGCCTGCCTCTTCCTCTTCATCACGCATGTCACCGCTCGTCCATACTCTTGAGCCCTGCTTAGAGCCAGTGGACCGGCCCCCTTGTCTCCCCTACCCAACTCCTCGTGTCCTCCCCACTCGATGTTGGATGGTGCCAGTGGCAGACCAGAGGCCTGCTGCCCCCTTGCCCCCTCGTCCTCTTGGGACGTGTGCAGGCCCTGGGGCCCCGACCCCCAGTGCAGGCTTCATGCCCATTTCCTGTCCACAGCAATGACTTCAGCAGGGCTGTGGCTGAGGAGTACTTGTCCTTCTTCCAGTTTGGAGGCCAGAGCCTCGACCGCGCCCTCCGGTAAGACCCCTGGGCCGTCTCTGGGGCGGAGGCATGGCTGGGAGGTGGCGGCACTGGCGAGGGCTGGAATCTTGATTGCCCCCCGGCTCTGGCGCCTGCTGGCTGCCCCAGCCTGGGCTCCATCCTGGACTCTGGCCCTCCTTCCAGGGTCTTCCTGCAGGCCCTGGTGCTCAGTGGGGAGACTCAGGAGCGGGAGCGAATCCTCTACCAGTTCTCCAAACGCTTCCATTACTGCAATCCTGGGGTCTTCTCCTCTGCAGGTAGGAAGGGGCTGGCCCTGAAGGCAGGGCAGGGGGGTCCTGGGGTGCCTGGGAGAGGGTTGCATGGAAGTGTCCCCTGGTCCACTCAGGAGTTCACTGGGTAGCTGCTGGTGGGAGTGTCTGGGGGACTGTGGAGAACCAGAGAAGCATTTGGGGGTCACCCCACCCAGCACGGGCAGGTGGAAATGCGGGAGTCCCGGTTCCAATGAGCTTTCTCTGCACTCACCTCCCTCTGGAGCAGATTCTGTACACACCTTGACCTGTGCCATCATGCTCCTTAACACAGACCTGCATGGACAGGTGAGAGGGCGGGGGTGCCGGAAGAGGGGGGTTGAGGCCAGAGGCCCGGGGTGGAGTCATGGAAGGGCCCCGGGGGAGGTAGGTCTGGAGAACTGGAGAAGGTTCCAGAGTGTCCACCTGGGGGGTTATTCTGTTGGGGTGAGGAGTGTGTGCCAGCAGTCCCCCTCCTCTGCATGGGCCACAGAACATTGGGAAGAGCATGACTTGCCAAGAATTCATAACCAACCTGAACGGCCTGTGTGACGGCGGGAACTTCCCCAAGGAGCTGCTGAAGGTATGGTGGGGAGGGAGGGTGCCGGGGTGGGGGGCGGCGCTCCCTGGGCTCACGGTGCCAGGGGCTCCCAGCCTGGGCCTGCCTCTGCTGCATTATCTTTGGGAGGACAGGCTTGTGTATGGAAGGTCCCAAAGCGTGGGTCCTAGCCAGCCGCATCAGCACCACCTTGGTATTTGTCGGCTTGTGGAAATTCACAGGCTCCCTGCCTCGGACCTACTGAATTAGAATCTCTGGGGCTGGGGCCCCTAAAATGTTCTCTTAGGCTTCCCGGCGATTCTGAGGCTTGGGGAATGTGAGGAGCACTGGTTTCTTGGTCCTCTGAACGAACAAAGGGCAGTTTGAAGTCTAAGACTTAGGAACCACAGGTTCTAGGGTTTGAATTCTTGTCCCTTGGCCCACTTGGGCTCCTCCTGGGGTAGCAACCACTTTATGGTGTGGTTATCACAGTGAAATAAAGGTTGTCAGGTGCTCAGAGCGGGGCGAGGCACACAGCATGCTTTTCATAAGCAGTGTTGGCCCTGGTTCTTTTGTCTGTGGGGTGAACATTTCTTGCACCCTTGCTGTGTGCCAGGCATTGCCAGGGCTCCAGAGGCATGCAAGCAGGATGCATCGGCACGAATACTCTTTGTTATATCATTTCAATGTTCCGGCACCTCATTTATTCATTCATTCACCGTATATTTATTGCCCCCGTCAGTCAGCCGTTCCTGCTGTGTCCCATGGGCGGGATGGTATGTGGATGATTCATCTTCTCAGGAGAACTAGCTCAGGCCTCACTAAGCTCAGGTAGGGACTAGGATTGCTTTGCTCACCTTGTCTCCAGCATCTGGCATGGTGCCTGGCACACGGTGAAGGCTCCGTAAATGGTTGCACGCCTGCATGGGTACGTGGATGCATGAATGAGCTTCCCGCTCAAGGAAGGGCAGCTGTGTTGGGGGTGGATGAGGCCGACTGCGGCCTGCCCTTGTCCTACCGATGCCAGGTGGAGTTTGGGCCCCACAGGCCGAGGCTCCCTGCCCACTATGTGCCTTCTCTTCTAGGCCTTCTACTGGTCTATCCGAAGTGAGAAGCTTGAATGGGCTGTGTAAGTGACAGCCCCCTTCCCCGCACTCCCCACCCCTTCCCCGTCTCTGGGCCTGTCCTCCCTCCACCTGCCCACCTGAGAGTTGGAGAAGCCCCAAGGCCCCGGACAGTGCTCCCCCACTGAGTGAGGGCCAGTTTCAAAGCAGGTGGAGGAGCCCAGGTCACACCTGGAGGTGGGGCTGGGGATGACAGGAACGGATGAGCTGGCTTGGAAGGACTCCTCTTGGGAGGTCCTGGGTGATCTGGCTTCCCAGTGAGAGAGAGGGTGGGGGGTGCTGAGGCTACGGGTGCCTCCTGGTGGCCTTTGCCCGGCCAGTACCCCCAGCCTGATTCTCTGATGTCCAGGGACGAAGAAGACGCAGCCGGACCAGAGAAGGCCCAGCTGTCTCCCGCTGCGGGCAAGATGAACAAGCCCTTCCTGCAGCTGGCCCAGAACCCCATGGCACCCACCTACAAGCAGGGCATCCTGGCCCGGAAGATGCATCATGATGCAGATGGCAAGAAGAGTGAGTGCTGCCCTGTCGCTGTGCGGGGCTTACGTCTGCCATTGAACCAGAGTGTGTGCGTGCGTACTACAGTGGCTCTGCTCGGGGACACGGCTGACGCGTGCGGATGTGCGGAGAGATCGCATAGGTCAGGGACCGGCGCCTGTGTTCTTTCCTTGCTGGTGACCGTGTGCTGGGCGCTATGTAAGATGCCAGGGGGTGGGGGCACGGGGACAAGACAGACCCTGCCCTCCAGGGTCCCTGTGGTGAGGGGAAGTCAGACTGTCGCATGGGTGTCTGGGATAAAAGGTAGAGATTGGTAAGTGGTGTAGGGAGGGTAAGATCAAATACGGGGGGGTGTGGAGAAGGGCTAGGTTTTGGTTTCATTTGGGGGATGAGATATGGGGGACAGGGACGGGTCAGGCTTCTGGGACATGATGGTATCTGAGCTGAACCTTGGAGGAACGGAGGGCAAGAGGGCATTCCCAGTAGACAAAGGAGTAGACGCAGTTTGCTCTGAATGGGGGTGTGTGTGACAGAGAACAGAAGGAGGTGAATTTGGCCTCATCTCTCAGACAGGTGAAGGCTTTAGAGCAGGCCAGCGACAGGACCAGAGCCAGGCTGGGAGGGGACTCTAGGGAAGCAGGCCTTCTTCTGCTTGAGGACTGAGTCCCTGTGCCTCTCTGGATGGGACCAGAAAGATGTCTAGTGGGTCTGTGCTCGTGGGTGGGAGTGTTCGGAGAGGGGGCGGCCGGCGTGGACATCTCTTTTGTTGTTTGTTGTTTGTTGATTGCCTGGGCGTGAGGCATGGTGCATGCTTGCTTGTGACTGTGTTTTGTTGTGTTGCTATGCTGCGTGTTTCCGTGGACCCTGGGCAGGGACTGAGTTGGTGGGGGAGGGGGCCGTGTGTGTCTACGTGTCTGGATGGGGCGCCCACCTTTGTGTACTCCTGGGGCAGCACCGTGGGGCAAGCGCGGCTGGAAGATGTTCCACACCTTGCTTCGGGGGATGGTTCTCTACTTCCTGAAGGTAGGAACGGGGTGCACACCCCTGACGGGCAGGGTGGGGGAACAGGGAAAGGCCCAGGATGGTTCGGAGGGTAGGCAACAGATGATAACCTCTTTTCTGGGCCCCTGGGCCCCGTGGCAGGGAGAGGACCACTGCCCTGCAGAGGAGAGTTTGGTGGGGCAGATGGTGGACGAGCCCGTGGGGGTGCACCACTCGCTGGCCACCCCGGCCATCCATTACACCAAGAAGCCGCACGTCTTCCAGCTGCGGACTGCCGACTGGCGGCTCTACCTCTTCCAGGCACCGTAAGTCCTCCTGGGGTGACAGACAGCAGCAAAGCCCCCGCTGTCCTCTCCCCATCGCTTGCTCACCCTCTGATGGCTGCTGGCTGGGACCCGGCGGGAGCGGCCTTCTTCACCAGGAAGCCTAAGAATGCTGCAGCCTTTGGAAGGGGTCCTAGGGCGGCCCCAGAGGCTGGTGCTGCCTGCTGGCCTCTTCTGACCCGGGCTGCTTCCCCAGTGCATCTGCCTCCCGCGTGTAAGTCCCGGTCAAGCCTCCCAATTCCGAGCGGAGGATTCCAGGAAGCCTCTAGCAACTGAGCACTGGCTTGGACATTTGGTCTAAAATCTATTGCCTTCCCAGATTTTCCTCTTTGATGGATGACTAACACCACCAGCAGAGGTCAGCCACCTCGATCAGTGGCAGCGCTTCTGGCTTTTTGAGGCGCTGGGTCCTGAAGCAGTCCTGGAAGACTGTGCAGACCGCAGGAAGCTGGGGGCGTGAGGGAGGGGCGGGACCGACCCTGTGACCTTGGGGACCCACGGCCTCCTCTGCCCGCAGCACTGCTAAGGAGATGAGTTCCTGGATCGCGCGCATCAACCTGGCCGCCGCCACGCACTCGGCGCCGCCCTTCCCCGCAGCGGTGGGCTCCCAGCGCAGATTCGTCAGGCCCATCCTGCCCGTGGGCCCCGCGCAGAGCTCCCTGGTACAGCCCCCGGAAGGGCCGGGTGCGGCGGGGAAGGGCGCTGCGCGGGACGCGGGACGAGAGGGGAGATGGGAGGGAGGGGCTGCGCACCTGGGCCCGGGAACGAAGTGGGGTTTGCGATGGGCTGTGCACCTGGGCTCGGGAACGGAGGGGAGCGGAGAAACAGCTTCCCCCTCTGCCTCCCGCTCCCAGGAGGAGCAGCATCGATCCCACGAGAACTGCCTGGACGCTGCCTCCGATGACCTGCTGGATCTGCAGAGGAACTTACCGGAGCGGCGCGGCCGCAGCCGAGAGTTGGAAGAGTACCGCTTGCGGAAGGAGTACCTGGAGTATGAGGTCAGGGGCCGAGTCTCCGCCCGCCCGGCTCGCTCCCGCTCCCTCGGTTGGGCCCTCTGCCGCCCTCTCGTGGCCGCATCCGTCCTTGCAGCCTTAGTTTCCCCGGCTGCCCTGGCGGAGGGAGGCCCTGTAGGCACCCGCGCGGGCAGGGGCTTGCGCGAAGTGTGCGAAGTGTGCGTGTCCTTGTGCCCTCAGACCTCTTCACTTCTTGTCGTGGGGGCACCCAGCAGCTGCTTGTCTGTCCGCAAACACTCACAGGGGACGTTCTTTTTATAACTTTCTTTCACCCAAGAGTATACTGTATTTGGCTTTCCCTAAATTGAAGGAAAAACGATTTCAGTTGAATGATCTCCCCTAATACCTACCTAATACTAGTGGGCAATATTTATGGAGCTTGTATTACTTGCCTCTATTATCTTGTTTAGTAGTCTGACAACTCTGAGGTAGGGACTGTTGTCCTGACTTTACAGATGAGGAAACTGAGGCAAAGAGAGATTAAACAACTTGACCGAAAATGATGAATTCACACGCCGCTCCAGTCAGGGTCGAGCCTCATTTATATTAGCCCAATGATCGATGCCAAAATGGCTTATCCCTGACTCCCCCCCGCCCCCGCCCCACCTTACACCCAGATTCTGCTACGGTCTCTCATCCGTGCACCTTCTGGGACCCTATGCCCGAGGAGTAGGTGAGGGGCACTGCTGTGCACACTGGGCCTCACGCTGCCCTCTCCCTGCCTGTGACCAGCTGCAACCTGTAGCCAAGCCCCTGGCCCTCCCCAGACCTCACTCCCCTCTGTAGAGAGCAGAGACAATGATGCGTGGGCCCCCCAGCCACCCAGGGCTGGGCTGAGGGTCCAGCGGGGTGGAAGACGGGCACGCGCTTAGTACGCTGGGACCTGTATCCCAAGGCTGCTAGTTACGGAGGCCTCAGGAGTGTTAAACAGATGAAGGGTAGTTAGCATCTCTCTCTCCAGATGCCAATTGTTAAAATGCTATTCAGACTCAATTAGGCTTCAGTACAGATGTGAGCTGTTTGTGCGCCGTGCTGCACAGATCAGGCCTAGCGGGTTATGGGTCTTTTAGTGTCTCAGAGATGTAGCACGTTCTGGAGACGTTAGTTACAGCCCTACAAGGCGGTGGCGGTTAGAATGGGGCTGGGCTGGCGGGGGTCCGGATGATACTATCCAGGTAACCCCAGGGCTCAGACGGGAGGCTGCTGTGTTCTGCAGTCTGGTTGCTGGAGCGTGGGACAGACATTGGCTGTTGGTCTAGCCCTCTTCCTCACACGTGTGAGCTGTCTGCCCCTCGAGATTCCAGCTTCCTCCTACCCTGCAGCCAGGGAAGCGCTAAGGTGGCGGGGCCCGTGTGTTGCAGAAAACCCGCTATGAGACGTATGTGCAGCTGCTGGTGGCCCGTCTTCACTACCCCTCGGATGACCTGGACCTGTGGGAAGAGCAGCTGGGGAGGGAAGCCGGAGGCACTCAGGAGCCCAAGCCCAGCCTGAAGAAATCCCACTCGAGCCCGTCCCTGCACCAGGACGAGGCCCCCACCACGGCCAAGGTGAAGCGCAACATCTCAGAGCGTAGAACTTACCGGAAGATCATCCCCAAGAGGAACCGCAATCAGCTGTGAAGCCGACGCCACCTCCCAGACTCTGGCCCCTGCTCGGGGTGGACCTGAGACCCCACGGAGGAGGCTTGTTTCAGTGGGTCCGTGGTGGGGGATGAGGCCTACCCCTTTCCCACGGAAGGACAACCCCCGTTCCCCTGTGGTCCTCGCTCCCTCCTGCGTTCACTGGAGCTTTCCCAAACTGCTGCGCCCACCCCCACGGCAGCCCCCAGCTGCCCTGGTCCCCGGTCACTTCCGAGGGAGGAGGGAGTTCCGGGGTTTGGCTGCACTCCCGTGTCACTCTCTACCCTTCCACAATCCAGAGTGGCCACATTTTTGGGGCCTGGGGGCAGCTTAGCACTCATTTGAGCATCGGAGTACCCCTGGGCTTCCAGAGAGAAGCTGGGGCAGAGGAAGCCTCTGGGCAGTCAAGTTAGGGGAGCCGTAGTCCTGAGGAAGATCTTGTTCTGGGGATCAGGTGACCTGCTGTGAGAGGTCCTGGGAGAACCCAGCCAGCCCCCGGTGACAGCAGGGTTGCTCAGTGCCACCCCCTGACAGGTAGGCTTTTCGGGCAGGGACTCAGCTCAGTGAGGCTGACTCTGGGACCCTGGGCCTTTGTCTCCTACCCCCCGATAAGCATCCGTGCACCAGGGGCAAATGAGACAGGCCCACGTCACACACCCCATTGCTAATCATCGGAGCAGAGCCAATGGTGGACAGTGAGGGCCAGAAGGGGTTGGGGCCTCCAGAGCTCTGTGGAGAGGCCTGGGAACAAGGGGCCTTTGTTTCCCCAGAGCAGGGAAGGAGGTTCTCCAGGTTGGGACCCTGAGAGAGGCTGAGGGGCAAGAGGTGGTGTTGTACCCCTTGGGGACTCTCTCGGAAGGAGCTTGTCTGAGAGCTGTGAGGGCCAGTGGAAGCCTGGCTCCCTCCCACACACCCCACTCCTTGCATTTCATTCCCGAGGAGGGGCCCCAGGGTCCCTTCCGGGCCCCTCCCCCTCCTGCACCCTCTGCCCCCCTGCCAGCTGACAGGGGGCTTTGCTGCCCTCCCTGGGAAGTCCCCTTGTGCTGCCCTCTGGCTGCCTCCCAGCTGGGCTCTGGGGGAGGTTCCGGACACTCAGGGACCTCGGGCTCTGCCTGCGGGAAGGAGGCTGGGCTGGAGGAGCGGGCCACCATTGTCTCTGTTCAGCCAAGTGTGCGAGCAGGCCGCCGGCCAAGAGGGGCCTCTGCTGCCTGTCTGCCGCCTGCTGGCTGACGCGCTGCCTCTCCAGCCTTCCCGCCGTGGGGTGGGGGGGGGGGGGGGGGGGGGGGGGGGGGGGGGGGGGGAGGCCCTCCTCCCGTCCTCGCTTGTCACCACCCCCGGGACCTGAACTCTACCAAGTGGGGCTGGCCCCTGGGTACTGTGAGGGGTGTCTGGCCAGGGCCCAGGGCTGGGCCAGGTAACCAGTGGGCACACACTAAACGCAGGCCAGTAAAGAAGCAGGTGTGCGTGCATATGTGAGGAAGGGGAGGGCCATCCTAGGACACACCTGTGCCTAAGCGTGTCTGCGTGTGAATGCGTAGGTCTGCGTGCATGTGTGTGGGACGGAGTCACACATTTATAGGCTGTCAGCGCTGGGGGGACCTCAGAATCATCTGTTCATTCCACTCATTCATGCATTCATTTCACGAATACTATTGACCATTTCTTATGGGCCAGTACTAGCGGATTACAAAATCACTTGAACACGTCTCTGGCCTCAGGAGGTAACAGTCCTGTGGTCTGGTTCCCTGCTGTCCATACAGAACCACACTTTATCTTGCTGGTAAAGACCCATTCCCACCCTTTGCTCAGGGATTCGGATTCAGTAGGTTTGGGTCAGGGTCACGGATACGTATTTTTAAAGCAGCCTGGGTCACTGATGTGCAGTTAATAGGTGAAAACCTAGCATCAGGTGGATGTGACTTGCCCTGGGACTGATGCTTACAAGCTTGGCCTTGAGTGGATTTTTTGACCTCACTGAACATGTATCCTTATTTCTAAAACCAGAATAAAAGGCAGAGGCGTGCCTGCGTTTGTGCATAGGTGTGGCCCTTCGATGCACCTTCACTCATGTAGAACCGGTGCCTCTCTTTCACCCTGGGGAACATGAAGCCTTCAGAGAGATGGGGACTGCAGGGCCCTGCCTGGTCAATGCTGTGTAGGCTTGGCTTGGCCTGGAGGCCTGGGGAGGTGGAGACTGGGTGGTTAGGCTGCAGTTCTGACATGTGGCCACGAGAGGGCGGGCTTGCATCTTTCAAGCTTCTGGAGCCCAGGGGCCCAGCTGTGGAGCACTGCTCCTTGCTTGAAGAAGAGGAAGTTTGTATGTCCCCGGGGCCATCACCAGAACCAGGACCTCCCGCTTCCCTACACGCACAGTGGTCCAGGCCGGGCCTCCCACCTGTGGAGAAGTTGGCCAAGCAAGGGTTGGGACTCTGACATCTTCCTGCAGATGGAGAAGGAAAGGGTTTCTGGAGCTGTGTGGGCGCGGCCTGGAGTTCCCTACACAGCTGTCCCTACAAAAGTGAAAACTGAGTGAGCTCCAAGTCCCAATCCTGAGGTGTGGGGCAGATCCAACGCACAGGCCTCTGTCTGACCTTGTGTCCACCCTCACTTCCTTTCCCACCTGGGAAGTGGGTTTGGTGGGTCTCTGCAGAAAAGACAGGTTCGTGGTGATGAGCTCAGGCTCCGTGAGGCTGGCTGAAGTTTGGTTCCTCTCCCTTCTAGGGGGGGCTCAGCCTCCGGGGCCCGCCGTGACCCAGGTGATACCCCAGATGTGATCTCTTCCTGGTGTCCCAGCATCTCTGTTCTGTGTGGCTTTCTACTGATAACCTTCATTTGTTGGTTGTTTGCCGGGCACCGGGAGAGAGTGAAAGGCCACTGAGGTCCAAGGCTTGGGTCCTTTCCTTTGGCGGCCAGAGTCAGATGGAGACGACAGGTGGGCTATGTTGGAAGGAGCTGGGCTGGAGGACTGGGATTAGCCAGGGTGAGGGAAACATGGCCGTAAGGGTGGGCCCAGGCCGGGTCATACGGGACCTTGCATGCGGCCGAGGAGTGTGCTTTACCAGCAGAAGAGGCAAAGCCTCGTGGTTTGGGGGGCAGCCAGCCTGGGAAAAGGCTTTAAGAAAATGAAATGAGTGAATAAGGCTGATAAGTAGGGTCAGCATATGGCCTGGGGACATTCTCTATAACTATGCAACTTTTCTGTGAGTTTAAAAAAGAAAAAGAAAAGGCCTGGAAACTTAGGACAGCCTGGCAGTCCCACATCTGGTCCTTCTCCCTCCCTTGTCCCCCACCCCCACATGCACGCTGGCACGTACTTGCACGTACTTCTGGGTCTCCTCAATGCCACACTCTCCATAACCACTCCTCCGCCAACTTTTCTGGATGCCTCTGCCCGCTTGCTCACACCTTTATCTGTTTGCCTTGCGAACAACTTCCAACATCCTCTGTACCCTTCCGTGAAATGGGTACACACCAGAAGGACCACTGATGACACTCAGTCGTCAAATCCAATGTCTTCTCAGCCTTCATGCCCCTCACCTCTCAGCGACCTTTGACTCACAGACCTGTCTGACCCTGCACGAGGCCCAGCGCAATCTGGTCTCAGCAACCGGGACCTGGAGTCAGACTGCCCGGGGTTGAGTCCCAGCTGTCCCTTTTGTGGCTCTCTGACCACATGTCAGTTACTTGGCCTCATATGCTTTGGTTTGCTTCTCTATCAAATGCGGATAATGACACCATGTACCTCACAGGGTCCTTGTGAGGAATAAGTATAATTATGCACATAAACATCTCAGAACAATGCCTGGCACAGAAGGAAAGCTTAGCAAGTTAGCTATTAGTACGCGGCCTTGCCAGTCTTACCACATGTGCCCTCCCCTCCTTGGGGCCCTGCTTAGGTTCTGCTCTTACAATTCAAGGCCTTGACTTTCCCTCTGCCTGGAAGTTGCAAACAACAAATCTTAACTCCAATAGGCTTTAGCAAAAAAAGGACATTTAATGGCTCCCATAAAGGGACAGTCTCTATCCAGGTCAGATGACGCTCGAGCTAGGGCTCCACGCGGAGCAGGCCCCCCACTGTCTTCTGTTCTTCTGAGCTCCATCTCCCAGGCTAGGAGGCAGGAGCAGCACTCATGATAGCAAGATGGCCCTCGTAGCTACCACCTTCTTGGTGCAAGTCTAGCACATAGAAACTATCTGCTCCTTGGAAAGTTCAAACTCAAGTCCAGGAACAGAGTCCCTCTGAGCTGCCCACTTTGAGCCATGTGCCCATCTCTGAGCCAATCACTAGGGTCAGGGGCCTAGGGTAATCAGAGTCCACCTTCTGAGATGGGGGTGGTGGTGAGGTAGTGTCACCCCAAAGGATGGGGACTGGGACCAGAGGCTGAGAAATTCTGAGTACTGCTAGTCCCAGGAAGGGGAGGAAACCAACGATCCGGAGGCCTTCTCCTCCAGGACCTTCCTTGAGCCCTGCTCCCCCAGTTAAGTCTGTCTCCCTTCCCCTGTCCTCCTCTCATCCCCTGCCCTCTTCTTTCTGTCTCTGCTCCCAGTAGAACATAGGCTTCCCAAGGGTAGAAGCAGGGCATGTTGGTTTCCATTGCTCTGAGCCCAACTCGTACAGTCAAGAAGTGTAAATCTCGAAACTGTATCCTCCCTGGGCTTCCGGCCTCCGTGTTCTCCTGGTTCTCCTACTTTCTTACATGGTCTTTTACTGTCTTTCTTCCACTTGCTTCTCCCACCCCCGAAGTCAGCCTTCCCCCAAGGTGCAACCTTGTGGAGGCCTTCAGGATAGCTTCTGGGAAAGCCTCGTGATGTCGGCCTTCAGCTCTGATCTCTGTTCTGCTTTTCAGACCCGGGGGTCTAACTGTGCAGGACGCGGCCCTCAATCTTCCTGGAGATGGTAAGTTTCCATACAGATGTACTCCCGTTTCTAGTGATGATTCTGTGACAGTTCTGTGACAGCTGATTTGAGAGGCAACGTACCAGGATTATGAGGATATTTG